TCATTTTGACGTTTACCGGTTCACCTTTCCCTTAATACGCCCTACGGAGGTCGTGCCAATTCGGTCAGTGAAACATCCTCCTACAAGAACGTGGATGCCAACAGAGATCGGTTGTGTGTCGGTTGAAACCTGACAACAAGCAAATCGGGAAGGTGCCCATTCTAGTCCCGAAAAGTTTTGAAATTTCCTGACTTGTTTGGCCTAGAAATAACTAGATGATGAGTCAGTGAAAGTAATTGGGTGGAAATTCTACCATCCTTTCTGAAAAATCCGACAATACTAGAAATAACGTTCGGGTTTATGTTGAGGTGCATCACTGGTGCATGAATGTTCATGAGTCCCCTGAGTTCTGTACAAGTGAAGCAGCCTAATCTATTTGATGAGAAAGCTCCTACCCGATAAAGTAAGTTAGATGAAAGCACATGCGATGGACTTATCCTGCAGATCAAACCAAACAGCGTAGTCATAAGGCCGGTGCACTTGTACAGTTATCGCACTTCCTGGCACCGATCCCTTGAAGAGCAACGCCCACTAGAAATACATTGAAGGAATTGATAATCTTGAATTTAATCAGCATAATGATGCGAGTAAAAAGCTTCCAATTTACTAAGTATTCTAATTACTCATCTGTCCACATACAGGTGAATTCGTTATGTCTCGGGTTATCAAAGTTCTGGGAAGGAGCTGGCATCCGGAGTGCCTTCTTTGTGATCAATGCGGTGCAGAGCTCGTGGTGACCGGCCTGCATAAATTCAACGGTAGGTAAGTTCTCATAACAAAGTGGATTTGTCCTTGTGCCACCCTGTAATGTGTTGTTTTAAGACGTATGTTTGTTTTTGTTGAATCACTGAGTGCAGCGAGTGTGTCTGCGTCTGGCAAGGCGTAAGTTTCATGAACTGAAGTGAGCTTTCGTTCCAGTCCGTGTGATGGACTGGTTAAGTAATTCGACTGCTTTTAACTAGTCGAGTAGAAATCCTGTACGCTTCAAGATCCTAGTAGAGGCTTCAAACCGGTAAAGGGTGTTAGTACTGAAGACCGAATACGGTTTTTTTCGGGAAAGCGATTCACTAAACTTTCTGTCCGAATGGAGCTAATCTGGTGGTTTCATATATTTTGTTCTAACGTGAAGATTACTCACAACCTATCCTGTCTCATCAAAAGGAATTAAGTACATAGTGGAACTTATTTTGTGCTGCCAGAGGTCTTGCTTTTTAAGTTGCTGTTTAAATGGGCATTCTTAACCAAGGTTACCTAAGATGTGAACGGAAAAAAAACAAAAGTTGAATATAGCTAGTAGGTTAATTTCTGAATCGCAGCGGCCCAGTGAGGATACCATTTAGATGTAGGGTGTTCCTACGGGTATGGGATGAAAAGTTAACAGTTCGCTTTTTCAAACAAAGTAGTTTTTACAATGCTTATGTGGGCATCTCATGAGCGTCCCTAAGCTATGATCATCTCTGAGTAAACGCTGTACGATATGCTGACTCCTAGTGGAATATGTCAAGTTTACAGGAATCTCTCGCATATATGCCTGACAAACGGACTTAAGTGAAGGACAATGGTCGTGATACTATGTAAATTACTAGTCGGTGCTGTACCAACACATATCAAAACATCGCGTTCATCAAAACAGTGTAAGCGATCGATAACCACAGCCTACCACGTGCTGAATCAGACGCTGTAGACAACAACAGGTAGAACTTAACGAACGTTGCATGACTGTCGGGACTGATTTGGGGCCTAGTCACCGTTTGTTAGTACGTATTGAGACCAAGTCAACCTGGCGTGGTCACCAAGAAGATAAGGGATCACTTATGACGTCGCACTTTCTTGATACTTCGTTCTTGTCGGATGAGTTAACTGACCAACTCTGGTGAGCAGCATAGACTCTACTAGTGCTGATGAGCTTGTGACGCATAAGTGATTGATACGAATGACCTTCATAGTTGGGAAGTGCAGTTCCAGTGTTTGGTCTAGAAAAAAGCTCACAACTTAAATCGGTCGACACAAGTCAGAAGTATATCCCATGCGAGTCCATCTTATTTCGTGTGCAACTTTACCGGGACATCAGTGGTAATCCACTTGGTGGTTATGGTTAGTAGTTTCGACTGCTGCTGCTCTTAATGTCTGTTCTTAATTATCACGAATTTTTTATATTCGGTTCTTCGCCAGACCCCTGTGTAGAGCCTGCTTCAACGAACTATCCCAAGTGCAGTCCACAGGACATTTGTGCCAAACCTGCCGCACCTATGTTTCCAAGTCTGAAATGATTCGCTTCAAAGGAGATCCGCATCACCCGCATCACTTCAAGTGTGCCCGCTGTGAGGTTGAATTGGGACCAGATGCCAGGGAACGTGGAGGAGACTTGTATTGCCTACAGTGCTTCGACAAACTGGGCATACCCGTTTGTGCTGCCTGCAGGTGAGTAAAAACACGGCGGTTATGGGTTCAAGGCAAAAGACAGCAATGCATTCGTCCTGAATCAGATCAACACCAATCGAGAAACCGGAAGTTTTCCTTTGTAAGAATGGCAGACACTAAGTGACGCATCTTACGATCCACTGTCACAGTCCAATAGCATGACATTACCAGGAGTTTCCATTCCAAATATAATACAATTGTGATAGCTCTCCGGCAACATGCGCTTACTCAACAACTTGAGTCTCCCTTTGAGGTGATATCACACACTCCTTCCATTCACAATCCATTATCTTGTTGGGATAAGGAAGCTTCAGTCAAACCGACTTGTGATAATAAAAACTTTAATACTATACCCAAAACATGCCAAGTACCCAGTGGCATCCAAACTTCAGTTAGGCTTAGAAATCACAACACGCTATTCGTTGACAACTTTGAAAATGCCCTTGTTGAAGATGACATGAAGGTCAGACAAGTTTCAGATTGATGGGGGGTCACTTGCTTTTCTCATTACAACACTGTGTTTGCCCCCCTCAAACCTTTCGTGAACAATAGTTTGGGATGGAAAATAGTGCTTCCTTTCTAGGCACACTCGGTACTAGATGTGCAAAGTACCGCATATAAGTGAAACTCAATGCACCTATGGTAATGCCGTAGATTTGTCATGTAGTCGCTGACGCACAGCTTTGTGACGGGTATGATGCAAGCAGCCAAAGCTCGAGTTAATACAGGATCAAAGAATTGAAACCGTCGCTTTCGGATGAACTGCCGAAGGAGGGGATATCACAAACTGGATGCTGCACCCGGTTGACTCAGATTTATTAATTAACTGTCACTTCGAACCGTTGATGTTCGAAGCATTTATGAGCCTCGCGGAAGGATTCACTAGCACCCAGCCGACAATACGCAAACGGCGATATTTTTTGGGTATTTTAGGGTTGGTGGCCTTGTAGACGGGAGATAGCTTAATATATTCTCAGCCGACAATACGCAAACGGCGGTATTTGTTGGGTATTTTAGGGTTGGTAGACGGGAGATAACTTAATATATGCCCAGTTCCCAATAATATTCATTATTTTTTTGTTATCTTTTTGATAATCTCTCGTGTCTAAGGGTTGCGACTGAAGTTTAGTGAGGTCAAAAACCCTGGTCACCAACGAACCAGATAAAGGGTCCAAACGATCATTTTACAAGCGCATCACCCTACGTTGGTATTTATGTGTCAAGCAGCACTCACTCCAGACTAGATGTCAGGAAAGCTGTTGAAAAACACTCGGATTGGAAGAGAATTGAAGTGTGAGAGGCCTTCGTCATAATTTACAGTGATCATTCTCCAACGAGAAAGTAAAGCAACCGAGAGAATATGTTGGGCGCTTCCCCGGAGGTGGCTCTTCCTGGAGGCATCGTATTAGGACTGTCTTCCCAATGGTATCGCAAATACGATGGTACGAATCCGTATATCCACGGAAGTAAACAAACAGTGGCCTGTCGAAAACCCTAGACTATTGTTTGAGTGGCCGGGGTGATGGTGTCTTTCGGAGTTAGTTATAAAATCCCCAGAGTTCGACATTTTCTCATTTTATCCCACTGGATGAAGCTCGCTGAGAATAATCGTCCTTGAGTCCTGCACATTTCAACGTTTGACATGGCAAGCCATCACAAATTCCACTGGAGTCAAGACAGAGAAACAGGAAAACGAATCCATTACAATGTAGCATGCTTACGCTCCGACATTCTTATCACAAGTTAGCGTACATTGGATCCCAGAGTGTACCATAATGGCTCAGCTCGATGCCGAACGCTGAGATACGCAGGGATGTACATGCATTATTATTTGTGGTGAGAACCTAAACGCATATACTTTAAGCAGAAAGATCACCAAAAGTGAGGACCGAATGCACCATGGACTTACGAACTCTGGTCCATTTTGCAAATATACCGCATCGTGTGTCGTCAAACCTCTGCCTAAAGGACAAATGGCCAATGTCTCCCAACGCCAGTCTCGACTTCGCGTGATTTTTTCAACGTTCCTGATATAGGGAATGAATTGGTTTTCTCATACAAAAACGGTCGTGATCGAGATACCGTTGAATACCAACCTAAATAGAAGTAATCTAGAGAGTTTGTCAGTCCCCGCAGGCCACATTCTTTGCCATTCAGCAAATGCCAGTGCGAAACTCGCCCAACTATTCTGGGAAAACAAATAAACATCTCGTCGGATTGTCATCAAAAAATGCTGAGCTTAGTTGAGCTTCCCAACCAGACTGTTGTACCAAAAGCACTCGAAACGGTCTATCAAACTCTGCAATCTGCTGGCACTTTGTGTGTCTTGCACTCATCCCTAGCAGTACTACCATTGTAACGGTGACACTACTGACGGGGGAGGCATGCGAGTAGTATGTCCTCTTTTTGTAAATTCGCTTGAAAAGGGAGATCTACTGCGGATTTGTGAACTCGCTTTGTAGCTTTTGCCTGGACTTGAGCAACACTCAATGAATATCCAGGAAAGTTCAGGAAGAGAATATTGATGTTCGGTATTTGTAATTAAGATGCATATGAAAGTTTTGCTTTCTTGTCCGATAGCCTGTAACTGGTCAGTTGGCATTTTTCCACGAATAACTCCGCAGCGTAGGTCTTCTTTATTTCACCAGCAATAGTGGTCACGGGATTTATTAAACATTAGTTCTAGGTTGAAAAAGTGACTTCACCGGCCTTTCACTATAGATACACTGAATGCAGTTGCTGTACGCATTCGTTGGCACCTCTAGCCCCAAGAACCTTAATCAAAGAATAAGGCTAGGCTGCTTTCCACTGATTTAACCAGCTACCATCTGTTTTATCTCTCACAGACGTCTGGTCGAAGGTCGAATCGTTTGGGCTTTGGGAAAACCGTGGCATGTGGAACACTTTGTTTGCCATCAGTGTGAGGTTCCTTTCATGGGAGGTCGATTTTATGAACTCCAAGGACGAGCCTACTGTTTTCCTCACTACCAAGCGCGAACTGGAAGCACCTGCCACATTTGCTGTCAACCGGTAATGGATATTCTTGCACGGTTCACAAACAAAGCATATTGTCCGGGACACTTTACGTGCTTCATTTGTGACCGCAAGTTAAATGAAAAGTAAGCACCCGATAGTTCGTTTTCATTTATTTTAGTGCAGCGATAAGATCCTCCTCCCCATGTAGTTTATAACTTAACTGTCTGTGGAGCAGCAATGAACGGCGCTCACTCATACGCTTATTCGGAATGACGCAATCCAATCAATGCTTTGACACTTCGCTGAAAAAACATTTCTCTGATTTGATTACGGGTACAACGACCACACACTGCCAACGAAAACGATGCAGGATAACCGGCTTTGCCCTCACTGATCAAGGCAAAAAAACTACGGTTCTTAAAAATCAGTGGGATCAATCTACATCCCACCGTATGCTGTGGCTGGCTTGAAGTATGTGCCTAGCGACAGTCTCATCAGAAGGCTATAGAAACTTTTCTTACACGAAGGTTGGTAATTGATCAGATGGCTGTTGATCTGTTCGCCGAGCTTGGCAATTGATTTGGTTGTGTTGGACTCAACCAACAGCACACTGAAGACATCTTCTCGAATGGTGACGAAACGTTTGCAAATCAATTTCCAAACTCGGCGAACAGATCAACAGCCACCTGATCAATTACCAACTAATGCACCCAAGCTACCAATATTCCAACACATTACTTACACGAAGGTTTTTGCTCTCTGTCAGTTGCTTTCGAAAGATGACACCTTGTCACATCTACTAAACACTTGAAAGAATATGCATTCGAGGAGGTTTACATTCACCTTTAATCGGGCTGCGGGTTTTACAGCAGAGTACAACTCTCGTGAATTTCTTTAAGGTTCAACTAAAGCCTTATCCGGTGTTTCAAAACAAACCTCTGTGTAGAATAATAAGCCAAATAGCCCGCGCTTATGTTAGGAAGTTTTGCTTGTTTCTGTCTTACTTTCCAAAGTGAACCCATCGGAACGTTCTCTCGTCTTTAAAATAGCATGAAAAAAAGCAATAATTTGATGTGGGTATCGGCCTGGAAAGAAAAGCTTGATTCAAAATCTCCCTGGAGTTACTCAATCCCATGGTGCAATCTTTCGTAATGAGATAAGGCAGTTACAAGGTGATATCCCAGTGCGGAATTTCGTACCGGGAACTCTATACAAGGGACATCCTGTGCACACTTGGCCATACCGTAACAAACCAGCAGTATAACGAAAATCTGTGCAAACGTCAGAGGTCTTGAATTTTATCCTGTCTGAGTTAATCGGTGAACCTGTTTGCCGGCACAGGAAAACGAACCGGTAAGCAACCATCAAGTGAGAAATGGCGCCACACAGTGGTGTCGATAGGTGGAAACTCGCACCCAATGTTGCCCGTTGAACTAAGAATATCATGAACGAGAGATTTAGTTGAGTCTCTCGTGAAAACCAAATTGATTTGCAGATGAGTGTATTTCTCGAAAACAGTGCAATTTGGGTTCAAGTAGATCATAAGGTTGACGGAAACTCGGGGACTGCGCCTACCTGATGAGCCCCAAGAAGGGCGAAACCGGTCGTGGGCTGTCGAAGAGTTTTCAGCAACCTTGTGAGTAGTTTGCTTTATGAAAGTAAGATAAAGCTCATTTGTTATCAGGCTGCAACAAGATGGTTTTACTTGCGATCGACGCTCAAACAGTTTAGCTAGGCTGAAGAGGTTTCGAACCCTTGAAAGCTCTGCATGCCTTGCCGCCATAATTGATGTCGCTCAGAACTGAAGAATGGTCTTTGAACGATTTGAAGTCGTCCTGAATTTCTGACGGATGCTCAGTAAGGAATATAGTCGCCACCGAGAGCAAAACTGTGGATTCGATAGGTAGGCGGGAGTGGCGTAGGGTTGGATACGAAATGCTCATTGCAAACTTTCCTGGTTTGTGGCCTCTTCTCAGAAGGTATGTCCTTGAGAGACTGGGTTAGATGACTAGATCTTACGCCTTTATTGTATCACACCTTTCAGGTCCAAACTTTACGAAATTGACCTGAAGCCGGCTTGCAAGGAATGCTACGACAAACTACCAACTCATTGGAAAAAGCGACTCGCCAAATTACACATGTTAGAGGCGCACGACTAGCTTGCACAACGATACAGTATTGCCTTGCCTATTTTCCGCACACGCATCATTTTATCTTGTACAGTGCACCCTTACCATGTTCCGGAATTCTTGTCACTCTGTGTTTGCTTCTGCCAATATAACTGAATCGTTAACGGTAACCACGTGATATACCACCAAACCAGTGGGGGTCGAAAAAACAGCATCGGTTATCATCACCGATTTTTACGTGGCATGAAATAAGGAATGGCAAGTTATCCTTCTGATCATCCGCTCATAGCTGAATACTGGAGCGTTCAGTTCAGATTTTTAAATGACATACTTGACGGAGTGTGATAAGGTGTTTATGAAAATACAACTTGCGTCTTGCACGCCAGATTACTTTTCTTCAGCAATCCGTAGATATAAAAAAACAATGGGGCCAGCAACTGAATGCGTGCAACACATTCAGTTGTAGAATACCATAAACGAGAGATTCAGTTGAGTCTCTCGTGAAAATCAAATTGATTTGCAAATTAGTGTATTTCTCGAAAACAGTCCAATTCGGGTCCAAGTAGAACATAAGGTTGACGGAAACTCAGGAACTGCGCCTACCTGATGAGCCCCAAGAAGGGCGAAACCGGTCGTGGGCTGAGCAACCTTGTGAGTAGTTACCTTTATGAAAGTATACTGCGATGTCTCGAATATCGTGCCAACTGAATCATGAGGAGGCCTGTATGCAGCACATTCAGTTGTAGAATATCATAAACGAAAGATTCAGCTGAGTCCCTCGTGAAAAACAAATTGATTGGTAAATGAGTGTAGTTCTCGAAAAGATGTCCTACTCTTTTCATAAAGGAAACTACTCACAAGGTTGCTGAAAACTCTTCAACTACTGTTGTTTTCAAGTTTAGGATAGAGACTGGGTCTCTCTCATCTATTCCAAAGCTCAATATTTGTTGGTGACTCTTTTGTCGATTGTTTTGTCTTTTTATGGAAGGCATGTGAGGACCGAACCCGAAAACAGTGAACAGGATTTCGTGCGGGAGGCGGCTTTGTAGACCACATCTTGAAACTCAATAGTGTTAGGGTAGCCGTATGCATAAATATGCGCAGAGTCTTCATTCTTTTCAACAAGTTAGCGCAACAGAGCACACTCCAAAATTTCGTTATCACCAAACGCTGTTTGTATGCAAATACTTGTGGGCGTGTGAGGGTATATAAGGAGTTCTTCAGAAACCTTCCTATAGGCAATAGGGCCCAACAAGAATGTTCCCTCTCTCCGTTTTTGTTTGCCTTCGTTAGTGGTGAAATACTGAGGCAAGCGCACCTCTCCGACCGAAAACTTGATCGACCTAGAATATGCAGATAACATCGTCCGCGTGTTCGAGGATGAATAGGAAGCGCGGGCGATACTACAAATGCTGAACAAGACCACCCAGCCCCTTAGCAGGCGCTCTTGGCCCATAGAGTGTAAAACCCTAGTGTGGAACTTACAGACTTTGAACATGCTGCATGCTTGCTATACACTGGTTATAGCTGCCACAGTTTCGTTCGCTGATTCTGGGAGGTAAGTAGATAGCTAAACATTGAAGGCGGTAGGTGATATAACTGATGCGTAAGTACGCGGGTGTCAGTGGGCTTCTCATTGAAGAGAACGGGAGGGCAAGGTATGCATAAAAGGCAAAAGGCAGGATAATTCCGCGCCATTGAGCGCGTGATTGGGAAGCGTCTATCAAAGCCTATAACCACTGATGTGTCCCATCTCCGGAGATATGACAACAACCAACGCAGCTGAGGGATAATTCCGCGCCATTGAGCGCGTGATTAGGCAGCTGAATTTACCGATAATGGCTTCCGTGCTTCGCCAACAAGTTATTGTTGGGTGTCCCCTGGCCCGTTTCAACCTTTCGCATGGTAGTGCGGAAATAACCTTTCACGGAAGTTGACCGATTGACTTAGGATCAATCCAGCGTAACTTACGGAGTGTGATCAATTCTTCTAACGTGTGTAACTAATTTCTTCCACAAGCCACTTGACGTACTTCAGCATTACTGACCCGGTGTTCTTACAAGACTCGGGCAGTGCTCCATAGACAAACACTGAAAGTTTTTTTCAACGTCCCCAGCGCGCCACGGCATCCACACTGCAAACTAAAGCAGCCCAGCCATATGTTACGCATGCCGAGTTACTTACTTAGGTGGTCAACCAAAACTGCCCCCTGGTTGCACGCACTCTGACCGCTCTACCAGAGGGACAAACTCAGTCAGTTTACACAACAAAGATGCACAGATTCATTTCAGCAGGCAATGGCAAATGTGGACAGCTGTACGGATTATGTTCCAATAACCTGAAATGGCATTTTAACACACGGAAGAACCGGGTTCGTTGGTCACAAATACTCACAAAAGTAAACACACTGGTGTCTCCCCTGACAACCCTACCAATGCAGTCAAGCTCTGACGTTCTTCCCATACAGGGTGATAAAAACAATGGAAGGATATAAGAGTATCACCACTTTAGTCGAGTCCCTTTGAGGGTGAGCTTCCCGAAGACAGTCCCGGGTTCTCCACCGTCAGCTGATGGCTATTTGAGTTCCACATAATATAAAATAACATAGCTAAACAACTTATCGTCAGAGGGTATTAATCGAAGCGATCACATAGAGACGACGATAACGCTCTCCAACGGTGCATGAGTTGAATTCAAGTCAGGTCCATTGGCTTCTTCAAGCTGAACGAATCGGTTAGCCTATTCGAGATTTAATGTGACATTCAGCTTTCGCTCCGTCCGGGACTAGTATTAACGCAATCCGCCATCCAGAGAATACCTCCGGATTGTGTACAGCAGTTCTGATCGATTAACTTTTTTGTCAATCCAGTTTCTCAAATGTCAAATCTTCCCGTTCGGCTGCTTCGAACGCCAAAGCTCTCAGCCACCACGTCGGTATGGTAATCTCCAATTCGTATTTAACGTGTCTCGGTTGGAAGAGGAGTTGCGTGGTTTTAGAGGGATTTCGCACACGGTACACACCTTCGGCCTAAGACCCTTTGTACAACAGCGCCGAAATACTGTGTGGCTGTACACGGCGTTAGCAAGTGTCACACTCCACGTCCATCAATAGTATGACCACCTTACTGATACGACCAGATTCGCTTCGTTCTATCGAGTTTGTGCTAGAAAGAAAGGCAGAGTACAGCTGGCCGCTAGTCCGAGTTCGCACAGGCTCAACTCTGTGTGTCTCGGACTGTCTGTCTGTGCATCCTCACCCAGCCCCTAAAGCCAAACAAGCCTGGATTTGCTACTTATATGCAAGCGGCGAAAAAGCAGTGTGTGTAATACATTGTCATCTGTATGAGCCACTGGACAAAGATCCATAAAACAAACATATATTGAATGGCAAGCGAATGTGATGTACACTATTAGAAAATATCGAAATCACTAAAATGAGGAGCATTGCCTAGATATTCGCAGGATTGGAAAGACGTGAGTGGACGGCTGCTGGAAGCCGAGAGTCCAGCGGCACGAGGGCGCGAAGCATTTGGTACAGGATGAAGCCTGTGGCACCCCAAATCCGTGGCTCAACAAAACCGGCAGCTGGGTGCGCTCCAAATGCAGGCAAAGACAACCGAAGTCGGTGAGCAGGATCAAAAGAGCCGTGTGCCACGCGGGGGATTTCCGTCGCACGACCTTCTCGAGCAGGGGCTAAGAAGTAGGTGGCGTCTAACCGCATCTGCGTGTAGCGAAGAGTGTCGGGATGAGTAAGCCAGTCAATTGATCGCACAAATATATCAGACACTTCCTCCGGGTTGATGTTCAAACTGTCAGACGATGGTGATTGGGATAAGTGAGGGAGGTCTATTCGGCCACAAAATCCCAACACTGGGTAAATGGTGACCTGTGTAAGAGGGAACCGAAACAAAATGAGGTTGAAACACCGGTAGGCTAATAAATAATAGGTTCAAATTAAATCAGAAAACACGTGGGTACGGGTCACGGGTGTATTGTTTACATTCCAAACAGATCCGCCTTGCAACGGATAATCAAAACTTCTGAGTCACATGTCCAGTCATCCCACAAGCAGTTCTCTGATGTAATGCAGGATGGACAGGCACGCGTACAAATCATCGGACACGCATCCAATAAGCCAGTAGCCACGCGCCCAATCGGTGGTGAATTGCCGAACGGACACGCGAACGCGCAAACTCTCTGACACATCCCAACCGGTTACTACAATCCTCCATCGCTAGATTTAGCCAATTCCAGCTTGGTAGCGTTCGACCGGTTTTCACTTCCTTGCTGATCGACGAAGACATCTTGACGCATTCATACCTGTTTCTAAGCTCTCTTCCTTCAATCCGAAGTCCATCTTCACTGTCGACTCAGGTGTTTATTCCGCATCTGGACCGCGCCTCCACTTTCTGATATGGTCTAAATGACCAAGCAATATCCTCCCGTCCTGAAACAACATGTCCAACTATTCCTCGTCTGACGGCTGAAGTCCTCGTCACTTCGCATAGTGCGAAGTATGTATGTTATGTATTGCGCATGCCGAAACGAAGAGAGAGAGTGCCGTTTTCCGCACCCACTTCAGTGGTGGAACAAGGAGCTGGCCAATTTTTTAACTGAGATGGGTATGAAAGACAGTGTGAAAAGTCTGGGTGCTGCTCAGCTTCCAGGATGGGGACCACACGATCTGCTTTGTGCCTGGTTGAAGACGCTGCAAGACATGGCTGCTAATCAACGTCAGTGACTTTCTTGTTGTCAGTTTCTATCCAGATTGCTTGAATGAGTGTCTGGAAATGTATGCACCTTCCTCCACAATGAGGCTTTCAAATAAATCATGGTTGTACGGCAACGAAGCACAAGTGTTGAACACTGACGTTACGCTGGCGATTATGAGGGAAGTACGCGATGATATAACACACGTTCTCATCGTGGCAACATCATCTTAGTAACTGTGGTGAACATCAAGTCACATATCATACCCACATGTGTGCTAGCTTACATGTCACGTGTGACGAAATATATCGTGTCCACTCAACAAACAGACCTCAACCCCTATGGGTCCCCTCAAAACCCAGTAACAGAGCCAAGGGGATCGGCGCATCATTAGCAGAGAAGGAAATGACTGAAATGGAGTAATGAATAGATAAGCGGATAAGTCGTACAGAAATCGGGTCGATCCAGGACGGGCCCTACGAGACAAGGCAAGACTTTTTTTCGTTATTGGTCACCGCTGGCTAATTTTCAAAGGCTCATATGGTAGGCGAAAAGAGAGGGAGCGACCTTTGTAGCCATATTCCAAGAAGTTCGGATCTAGTACTGAGAACAAAATAGTCAAAGCATGATGGCTACAGTTAGCATTGTGCCGAGACGATGGGTACGAATTCTGTCCAGAGAAACGTCTCTTCATCCCCTGATATGTTTCAAAGAATTCGAACTGTTTCAAAGTCAAACGTCACGATGCCGCGTAATTTGTGCCTTGATAAACATACAACACACAACCAGTTCATGTACAACTGAGCGGTAAAAACCGGCGGCTGCATAGTTTACATATTGTGGTGGCAGATTAAAACATTCTCGGGCATATAGTATATACGGACATAAAGCGCCACTGAATCACGAACAACTGGGTGCACTCTAGGAACCTGAAATCAACATTTTGTCGGATCAAGTCTCCGATCAAATTATAACCCCCTTCTAATCTAAGTAGAGGCTATTTCACAAGTTTGTCTGCTCTAGTTGACTCGTTTTCGCTAGCTGATTGGGTCAAAACCGTAAGTGATCAGTGATTTCTGTTGATTGGATGACCGGAGCACAAAAGGGCTAGCGTAAACCCCGTCCTGGCCACATAGCACAGGTCTCTGAAGCACAACCCCCCCCCAAGAAGACTTGAGAATCGTCTGTTAATGTCTACCACAGGTACTGCTACCATCGGATTTGTCACACCAGAACGTACACCACAGAGACCACTATGGTAATGTCGAAAAAATTGCTTTGATGTTCGTGGATTCTAGCATTGACTTTGGCACCAAAAATGCCTTCACTTTTCTTCGTTTAACAATCCACTCACAGAAAATACCTCGTCAGAAGCTTGCTGGCCGACGGATCTACCCTCCTGTCACTCCACTGCGTGGGTTGGCGAGTTGGCAGGCAACTATCGGTCGCAGATAACACGTTCCCTACTGAAGGCCGGAGTGATGTAGAGTGCCCAGTAGGAGATGCGTCCGCAATTCCTATGGGGTTCACCGATAGACTCAAGTGGAATGGGAACGAGGTGTCTTATTTAGGATTTCATTTAACGTCTTAACTAGTACATTCCAGATAGAGTCCCAGCAATACTGTGAAGAATACAGCAGTGTAACGAAACCTCAGATTAAAGCGGGAATCGACGACTATCAGAAGAGCGCACCAGAAAGAAAACCAAGCGAGCCAGCACGCGAAGGCTGCTATGGAAGCAGGGACTAACTTTGGAGAAGTAAAATAACATTAAACCGCCGAATAGCCCGCATCAGTCCGAGAAGGTAAAACAACGATGTCCGAAAAAGAGCTTCCTATCAAGTCGTGAACCGGCACGGTAAGCTCCCAGCAACCGGAGAAACGCGAACAAGCAGCTATACTATTTTCCTTCCCAAGACACCAGTCCTTCAGGTGAACACAAGCAGCGAACGCGTGATTACGACCGGAGGTAAAAGTTAGGACGTATGTGTGAACAAATGTTTGTCCAATGACCTTATTTCTTGTTGTGACATGAATGTCCAGTATATCGAATATGCACATCTACCAGATACACAATGGCCATTGATGCCGGGGTTCCGTTGATCCAGATATTGGGCAGATATGCGACAGATTCCGCCAGTCGTTAACTGTAACGCGTCGATCTCGATTTGCTTGTTTTTTTTTTGTACTTCAGCGTCCATAAAAATACGTCACCTCCAGGGATTTATTTTAGGAGACGAAAGGCCACCACGTCAACAACCAGTCATCTCTAGGTTGTTTCCGCTAAGTATACTACCAACTGTAGAAAGTTCCTGTAAACTGGAGGTAATCCTGGGGTATGAAGCACGTGGCTCAAGCTCATGGATGAGACGTTCGTCAAGCCGACGCGACCAGCTTCCCCAGGAAATATGCCAAACGCCTCGGCGTTACTGGTCCTACGTTCCCAACACTGACTCAAACGTACTGGTCGTTAAATATCGATAAATTTGGGGAGGGGGACGAGATGTCTGTGGTTAGGGCACGAACTTACTGACCGGAAGGTCCGTGCTTCGAACCCGACCTCTGCCTCTTGACTTCCCCTGTCTAGACTTGGAGCAACTGGCAGTATCCCAGTCTAGTGCTCCCTTCGGGTGTCATGGC